AAGATATGAATATCGAACAGTAGTCAACAGGTTAAATGTTATTGTTGTAGATAGATCAACACGAATAGCCTGTAAGGAATCCTGTACTTTTTGAATTGTTGTTGTTCAGTTTGTTGAGTTCATCACCTTGAGTCATTTGCACAGACAGAACCTTTCTGGTTGGAATGTCCTGTTGTATTCATAGTCATATTTAATTGCTCTAAGGCACCAGTTATAGCGTCGTAGAAAGCAAGAGTCCTCTTCGCAAGCTGATCTGTCTCCACCCCGTTCGTCGATATTGTATGCCAACATATTGACTGATTCCTGCCTAATTCAGAATCCCACGAGACCCCCATTGGCTAAAGTAAACGGTCTATGCTCACTCATTTCGTATTTTGCATTGTCCATATCGACAGAAGTCACTTATGCCCAGAATGCGTCGAAGCCAATGCTTCTGTACGCGGCTCAACCGTTGTAGTTCCTTCGTTAGGAAAACTCTATTCCGTTCACAAATACTAAAATGATAAAGACAAGGTACAGGCGGATTTTTGAGCAGAGATATATCCATTGTCAGTGCTACTATTTGTCGCGTTTCCAACAGGATTCGAGGCTAAGACAGTCCGATTATTTAACTCTGACCAGATAATGCCATCAGTGGAGAAGATGGAGCCGAGATGCTTCAACCTCTAGAAGGGCTTCACTTCCCTGTTCTACTTTTAGATCAGCTGTGTCGGATCAGTTTGTCATAGATGATGACCTCATGGGTTAAAGCGAAAAAAGAAGTTCGCAACTATAGCTTATATTGAAACCGTCTGATGACAAAGCCACCTTCCTTTAAGAATTTTTAGAACAGTATCATCCACGAATTTCAGGTCAACAACGTAGCTAGCCGGATATCTTTAATTGAACCCTCGATCTGGAATGAAACCTTCGTGTGTGCCGGGGTGAGCAAGTTTCGAAGAAGAAAGTTGATACGAGGTTAAGTGGCTGAGGCGAAAGCACATGCCCATGACGAACCACGCGTTTAATAGGGAAGCACTTAGACTGCAGATATGGGTCTTGCATACATGTGTTCCAGAGTGGACAAATGTCTTCAGAGATGAGTTGTTCTTAGAGCCCATTAAAAGTAAAAACAGCGAATCAGTATAAGAGTCAGCATTAGCTCTCTGCATGTTTCTAAAGACAACTAGCAACAGAGAGCATTTCCGCACCCTTAGCGAACAGTCTACCGTAAAGCATTACTGATTTTTGCTGTCAATTAGAGTTCAAGAATTATGGCTGGATGGGAAACTCAGAAAGAATGACAAAACTGTCAGAAAAAGAAAAAGGGAAATTGAGTCTGAGGAATACACCGGTGCAGAAATGCTCCAATTAACTGGTAAAACATTCTTGTAGCAAATGTACAGATCTACTCTAGAATTTTCCCTGTCGACTTCTTTAATTCTCTGAAACAATCAGGGGTTAATGCAGATCCATGTCCATGTGATTTGAAGCACATTAACACCGCGATGTAAGGAACTCTTTTGGCGCTATAGCAAAAAGAAGTTAGCTAAACATAGAATAACAGATATTTATGAATATTAATACGGATATTGAAATTATTTCCCGGAAGCCTTAAGCAGGAAATTAATGGGAAACTTCGTCAAAATCAGGAACGTTTTTGAACTGGGTTTCATGTTCTGATTAAAGTTACTTTTTGTAGAATCAGATGACGAAAATATCAGCGATCTAACTTGCATTGAAATGCCATTTTCATAAGTTTTAAAGCTGCCTTAAAAATAGTACATCATTCAGCGGAGTACATGAGGAAGGTCTTCAAACGCCATGCAATCATGGATAGTTCTCTTTTCATCTTAGAAGAAATGTATGCAAAATTACGTCTAGTGCAAAAGGAGGAGGAGAGTCATCTCAAAAGTAATTATAATGTAAAATGATTTATAATTTAGAATGCATAATACTTTAGTATAATTTCATTGGCTGAAATAATATCTTCATGATGCTCAACTGTGTTGTGGTAAGTAATCTTTTCATATTCATTCTTCATGCAGGAGTGGTCTGGTTTCGAAAATAGGCCGGGTCTTCAAGTGTGACCAACGAAGAGCAGATTATTACTCTTGGCAATAGAATGATGCGAGTTATTCATAGACTGAGAAGGGTTCCAAGACCAGGAAGCTGTGCATATTGATGCAA